TATCCACCTGTATTAAAACTACTTTACCAGACAATGTGCCATATACAGTAAGACCACGCTTAATGCGGGGAGGATGCGTTCCTAGACGACAAATTGCTAAACGAAACAGCGTTAAACGAGAGTAAATAGGGAAAGAGGAACACGCGACCAAAAATAAACAGATTTTACTTTAATTTTAAGTTATTTTTATACTAATTTGTATAATAGTATGTGTTAAATAACACATAAACATATGCAAACAGAAATATATAGTTCCTTTTTTTTTTGTGATGAAAGTGGCGTACCGTAGTGGGGGCGGCAGGGGTGGCCCGCCCCGGGCGGCACTTTTTAGGGGGCGAAAAAATTTCACAATAAATAATAATAATATCTTGTAAAAATTTGAAACATCCTAATCTATACTTGCATCGCGCCTACGATAGTGCTATAATATAGTAAGGTAACATTCCAATAGACAATATGCAAAGCTTTTTTTTCAGTTTACAGCAGTATTTATTACACAGAATTTAAGTAAAGCTTAACATGCCGATCTTGCCCCGGTCTCCCCTATATTTTGGATTTTAATTAAATAATATTTATCATCAAATTAACCAAACAAATGAATTCGTTTTTCTATTATCTGTATTGTATATTTCCGTTTTACAGCTGAAATAAACATCGCCTCTTGCGCGAAAACCCTCCCCAAAAATGCTTCAAGATCATTTTATAGACATAGCCTTAACTTTTTCTTTCTTGTGTTATGCAAGTGCAGATTTAGATACAATAAAAGTATTAATAATGGTCAATAAGACGATGTTCTCGGCCATTGGCTGGATATGTCTCATCTTTTTAATTTTAAAATAGTTAAAATTTTCCTTGAAATTTTAGTATTATACTCGTATATTAATAAAAGCAGTTGTTTGCCAGTAAGTAAGTCCATGTAACTATTTATAAAAAAATATTTTGTTTATGATGTTCCATAGTAGAATTCACATGTTTGGTAGTAATTATAGATTCTACACAGAAAACAAGTCAGCAAAGAAAAAATATGGTTAGAGATTACAATATCTGTTTTTGGAAAAAGAAGCAACTTTTTTATTGGATGCTATAGTAAATAAAGTAAAAATAAACCAGCAACGAGTTGTTCAACATTCCCGGCAACATTTAAAATTTTGGTGGCGCCATCTGTTATCATATTTTATTAAGAAAACTTTTTATATTTTTAACTATTATAAAATAGCAAAAAAGCGTAATTTTGAGGATGGATTTTATGAAAAATCGTAAATGCTAATAACAAGTAAAATCATCATTAAGTTTGACCCTGCTGGAGGTACACACGACCCCCTTAATCTCTTCATTCCTCGACCTTTAATTACCAAAATTTAATAACATCAATTCCCTAATAAACAAACCTTCNCGGCAAAATTTCACAATAAATAATAATAATATCTTGTAAAAATTTGAAACATCCTAATCTATACTTGCATCGCGCCTACGATAGTGCTATAATCCGGACAGTCCGGGAATCGGCTCGCCGTCCGGATGGACTAGTAACTTTTTTATCCGAGGAAATCCTGCGAAACCTGTTGGCCTTTTTTTTTTTTTGCTTGTACGATTCATTCGCGTTCATACACACCACTAATATCCAATAGAACTACTTTAAACTGATCGCTGCACTACCACCGAATTTTTCATTGCTTGTTCTGTGACAAAACTGAATTTTGGTCTTTTAAATTGAAATACCTAAATAAGGGGGCCGAAATTTTCTTCCGCCCCGGGCGGCTGACACCCACGGTATGCCACTGGATGAAGGCCCTGGCTCTTCTGAAATTCTTGATTTTTGCGATAAAGACCTGTAGTTTCATTCGTCGCTGTTTTCTTTCCTTAAGCAAGTGGAGTAAGTTCTCAAGTAAGTTTCCTTTGGAAGTGATCTCTTATCGGTAGCAAGAGATCGCTTCTAAAACGCCTCGTCTTGCTTTTGCACTCCTTTCAAAATCTGGATCATTCGCTACAATTTGATCAACAATTTCGGTTATCGTTATCAAACTTTTACTAAGGAAATCTGTAGAGAAATTCTTTGGGTTCTTCGTTTTCAGAATCTCTATTGTCCAGTTCTACATGAATTCCTCGTTCTGCCAGTTCTTGAAGGTCGTCGTTGGTCGTCTCACCAGGAACCTGAAGTAGCTCCTCAATATCCTGCTTGTCTACATTTAGTCCTGTTATATCGATTAGATTGACAATTTGGTCAACAATAGGATCTTCTCGTTGTGAATTGTTGGATACCTCCGGCCATGCCTTCTTCCACACTTTGCTCATGCATTTATCAGTTAATTCTTGCCAGATATTGCCTATGGCATCCATGATGTTATATTTTTTCCAAAATTGCACTAAACAAACATAGATTTAAGGAAAGTACAGCGCTACGACGAATTGCCATTTTTTTGCTGATTGGTTCGTGTTCGGGAATAATCGTATTATATACGAATTAATGAAATGCCGGATAATTTGAATCAGAGTAAATTTTGAGTTTTTTTTAGAATTTCAGCAGACCGCATTATATCGAATCAGCATTAATCGAGGCAGCGTTAAGCGGCGTCTTACTGTATTTTACAATTTTTCTTTTGAATCGCGCTCATTTTATTAAATAATTCATTTAAAAAAAATACCTTAAAAAATAAAATTCGATAATAAATCGAACCAGTATGCGTTTTAGCAATTTTTATACATTTAAAATTAATTTTATACGACGTTAGATAAATTTATTTAAAATTATTTTAAATATTTTCAGTAAACTGCAATAAAAAGAAATTATGTCTGAAAAGTTTTGGATAAAGGAAATTAAAAAAAACAAATTAATTAGCTTAAAATCATGATCCCGATCGACTTCAATTCGAACTTTAGTCGGTGTGCCTACCAGTGGCCAAGCGGTCTTCGTACCCTGAACATTGGGAGTTCGGTCGTGCGGTCGCGGGTTTGCGCCTCGCTCGGAAGGGCTGGCCACGTGGAGTTTTCCGGGTTTTCTCCACGTCTGTAACGCCTAAATAGGGCCAGTTAATCTTAAAAATACCTCCCGGAAGGCATTCCCGTAGGCAGATCACCCAAGTGTTGCGTTGCCATAACTAAACAAACGAACTTTAGTCGTAACCCGCTAGCTGTAGCGCGGTCAAGGTGGAAGCCTACCGCTCTGGGGACCCGGGATCGAATCCGGACGGATCGCTAAATCCCCAGGAATTTTTCGGGGGTGGTCCGTCCGGATATGTCAGGCGCCGTCCCTCACCACCCGACCGCCCCATTGTGGGCCTGGACGAACCCATAATGGGCTTGCTAAACGAGGCCCACTTGGTGCCCACAAGGCGGAAAGAGTTAAAAAAGAAAAAAAAAAAGCCAACTACAGCAGGCTGTGATTCTGTCCGCTAACTCTTTTACAGATTCGGCTTTCTAACCATTTTTATAAACTTTTTCGTCAGTTGATATAGAAACCTCTCAATCTGTCTCAGTTGCGAAATGTTGGCTTCACGGGAGATTTATCGAATTCCGTAATGGTCCAACTTGGCAATTCGTGGTGGTGAGAATAATGGGCACTGGCTGTCTGGCTAGAAGACATATCCTTGGTCAGTATAGTATATTTTTAGGAAGGGTACTAGTCTCTTCTGGAAGGGTACATATGCTTCTTTAGTGATTGAGAGTCGTGACGGGACGATGAAAACACGTAAACGTCCTTTTGGATCGGTTGCCAGTCAAATCAGTCAAATCTCCGGTGAAAACTTGGAGTGTCGTTTGAAGGATCCACATCTGTAGTGAAACAGTAATGGTTACCAGCACATTCACTTCTGTCAATTTTCAGTGTAAAAATCTGCCGATTACATTTCTTCCATCGAATTCATTTAATGCTTCCATTTTTCAAATGAAACATTATTTACGTAAATTTTTGATAAATACAATTACTCGAAGTTACTGGAAAACACATTGAAATTTGTGCAGATCTTCAGAATACACACCTGTATTTCAATTCGTGAAATTAATCAAATATATTATACTGTATATTTTTATCTAAGATTTAAAGATTTTTCGGTTTATTCTATTCGTTTTAAATACTCCCCCTTCTTCTTTTTTAAAGTAACACGTTTTCTTAAATTTAATTAATTTATAAAACTGTTAATTCATTTCCCTTATCGAATGAAATGAATTTAATCAAAATTTTAAAAGTTGCGGACAGAGGGAGCTAGAGTTAGCAAAAGATCGTAAATCTGTTCATCTGCTTATTACGTCAATATGACGTAATATTTTCAGTTTATCAATGAGCAAGAATGACGTCATAGTGTGCATTATTCCAATCAATCGAACTGAGTATTTGCTAACTAGACGCGTTCCTTAATTTCTGACAGGTGAGGTATTTAAATGAAACATTTTCCTTTCTTTAGAATTAATTTCATGTGTAGATTCACATATAGAAATACTAGCAAATAATATTCTATTTCCACAATAAGAGACACTAGTCTTATGAAACAAAAACACATAGCCACTGTTCTACCATACGTGTGACGTATTGGTCACATATCGGACCATAACATTTACAATTTAACCAGGGACATATTTCAGAATCAGTGAAAATGGGGTCTAAAACTGATTGAATTGCTTTATATTATTGATCTATACATTGGTGATATTATATTGACGTTTTAAAAACTTGCTCTGTTCAAAACTGCAAACAGTTCCCAGAAATCGGGGATGTCTGGTCACTCTAACATAGATACAGGACTTACGTCTGAAATGAATATGTAACTTGAATAAAGTATTCTGGAAGAAATAGTGCATGTGTGTTGTTGGTATTGTGAAAGTAGTGTCTTTTATTGTGGAAATAGAATAACAATGCCAACATCCTTGAAAATATGAAACAATATTCTGTATGAATTTGTAAGATTGATCTTATGAAGTTGTAACCTCGAGCATAGCATTTGTAAACCATGTAATTGAAATTTAAAGTTTTCTACAAAAATTAATGATATGTTTTATTAATTATTCAGGATGCAGTGCCAAATATTACGGAAAGCTTATCGGACAGTTGAAGACGAATGCGCACGGTGTCAAAGGGACCGTTTATGCTGCCAGCAAAAATTCATTCTACTTGGTGGGATTCGAATATGATGGACAAGGCCCTGGTGAGATACATTAAATATAATTAAGTGCATATTTATTTATTATTGACATGATTAATATTTTTTGAAAACTCTAAATATATGTTATAAGAAATTTAGCCTGAAATCCCTGATCATTATCAAATATATGTTTGAAATATTAATGTTGCACTGCAATATGATTTGATATATGCTACATACAAGAATTGTTATATTCAGCAATAGTATTCTTCACACATAATTTATAAATTTAATTACACAATATTGAATGACATTGAACTGCCATCAGCTACAGTGATGATAAAATTTGTGTGCCAAAAGCCTACGTAACTTCCTTTGAAGAAGCCAGTCTTACAGAATGTAGATTAATGTTTTCAGATCTGATTACATCTCTTCATATTTGCATATATAATATTTAAATGTCTAAACATTCACATTCAAAGAACACTAATTCTAAATTTCATAAAAACTTGACTCAAAGTAGGTATGTCTGGAATGTGAGATATAATTATAACTTACAGTTTCTAGTCAACATTTATTTTAGAGAATTCAGATATATATTCAAGAATAAAACTTAATGTGAATTAATTATATTAATTTGCATGAATCTACTAACCTAACAGAATTTAATACAGATTAATTTATTTGAACATTTTCAATTTTTCAAACAGAAAAAAAGTCACTTTATTCAAAGTACCATATCAATTGTAAAACTAATACATTTCTTAAGAAAAATAATTATTTCAAATTAATTTGAAAGTAAAACTTCAGAAACTCCTCTTGCCATTTTAATATGAAAGTATTTATATAAAATTTTTATACTTAAAATAAAACTTTATACTGTACTTAAAAATAATTAAAATAAAATAAACTTTATTTGGTTTTGAACTTGAATTTTAGACAAACTGTTATATTAATAATTTTTATATGAAATTATTAAAAAATACATTTATTAATAATGTAATAGATTAATTTTTTATAAATGTATAAATCAAATATTTTTATAGTTTTCTTTTCAATGACAAAATATGTTTGATGAAATATTACAATATAATTTCACTAGAAACATCACAGTTTTAAGAAATCAATAAGTTCATATATGATGTGTGATCAAGTGAAACTTGTTTGTCCTGCATCACATGATCTGCTGCCCCAGAAAGATGATCACAGGGCATTTAGCATGGTAGTCACATTGTCTAGAATAGTTGAGAAAGGGTTGGTTATTTTCACAGGATTTAGGTAGGTTTCATATTTTCACAGGAGTTAGGTAGGCCTATAAACATAGCTGATGTTATTAAGAATCCAACTAAAGTTGAACAGCAAGTAGTGATTCAGTTTTTAAATTAATAGTGGTAAGGTGTCAACCAGTTGAAATCCATTGAAGAATTGCAGTTTATGTTGAGAAATGTGTGTTGAAAACAACAGTTACTGATTCAACACAAATGTTTCAGGAAGGATTGAAGAAATAAAAAATTTCCATGTTCAGATGAAGCACATATTGTTCCAACAGATGAAGAAATACAGTTGAACTGTCAAAGAAGCCTACATTTTCTAGAAAAAAATTCAGCATGTCTTTTGGAATAGTATGAAATGTGATTAAAAACAATCTTAAGTATAGCAAAGGGTATTCTCAATGGGTATCTCAGATGTTGACAGACCATAAAGAATAATGCATTAAGTTTTTTTGTTATTTTTCATTCATATTAATAATGTGTTTCCTTTTATCATGCCTCATAAATTAAATATTTTAAAAACTATTGTTTATTATTAGAGAAAAATTATTTCAAAAATTTTTTAACCTGATTTAAATCCGATGACTTCAAATTGTGCTATCATTGATAATTTATTTAATTATTGTCACTCATTAATTAAACTATAAATAATATATATATGTATATATCTTGACATTATTGCATGTTGATAAAAATTATAAGACTTTTATTGATTTCTTTAGGATAAAATTTATTCTATGTAGTTTTAAATGTTTTTTTATTTTGAAAAAATTATGTATTTAAATATGTTTTTATTATTGCTTCATTTTATTCAAATTATTTATAATGATATATAAGTGAATATGAATATAATGTAAAAAACAATTTTTATTTAGATGCCTTTTTTTGGGTTGGCACAACTCCTCAACCATCTGTGAATGGTTCCATTGTTCCTAATGAAAAAGGATTGTAAGTATATTATTTTTTATAAATTTCTTTGGAAGATTAGAATATATCTTTCTTGCCAAACTATGACCATTTTTCATTTTAAATCTTAAAATTTTTTGATAATCATAAAATATTTTTTCCATAAATTGATTTTAAAAGTGTGTAATTTATTTGTTTTTAGGAAAGAAGTTTTAAAGCAATATAATAAGCAAGATATTATAATTTCTCTCCCAGATGGAAAGACTATCAAAGATATCAAATGGTTAAGTGTTTGGTGCAGAATGTTTGCAGTAAGTTTTTTTATATTATATAAGAATAAATAGATTTTAAAGTGTAGAAGACGTGGTTGATTTTAAAGTTTACTAAATTATAAAATTAAATTATTATTTCTTACTTTTTTATTATTTATAAGCATTTATAAACAAAATATGTTTTACAATATGTGCATTATTTTTTTATACTTCATCTTAACAAATTAATAGCATATAAAGAATATTTTTAAAAAATTATTTTATAGTAATTTCAGAAGATATTTAAGGCTTTCTATAACAATCATCTCAAGTTTATGATATTAAACTGTTTAACAATTATTCAGTTATACAGTACTAATATATATGAAAATTATGACTAATTCATAACAACTTCATAATTGATGAATTTAATATGTAAAAGGATATGATTTAGGAAAACTGTTGTGATTTATTAAATACATATAGATATTGATTAAAGATTTAGAAACAGTTTAGATTAGTTATATAATTTATTTATGCAATTAAATATTTTTTATTACTACCATTATAAATTGACTAAGGAAAAAATAATTATTGGGATTTTGAAAATTCTAATGTTTTCTTCATATATATTACACATTTTATGAAGTTTAAAAAATCATTGTCAACTATTTTAAATTAATTATTTACAATAAATTGCTAATAAATAAAATAAAAATATCAGTTTTGGTTACTATTAAAAATATAATTCTTATTATCTATAACTATTTTTAAATACGATAAGTAAATTGAAGGAAAGATTAGAAAGGTCTACATAAATAACATACATTAGGTAAGTGTATTATCTATTATTATGCAGTAAACTATTACCACAAATATAAAATAAATAAGAAAATATAAGAAAATTTTATTTACAAGTTAAAGATGAAATGTGTTAGGTTAGATAGATAATTTATCAGTTAATATGCTAAAACTTACAGTGTTGATAAATGGTTCACTAAAAATAGAAATTTAAAAATATTTATTAATGAAAAACACTTCTTTGTATTAGCAGTTTTTATAAAATTTATTAAAATAATACATACTTAAATATGATAAGATTTAAATATAATATAGTTACTTTTTAGGTAGATTTTGGCTCAGTTTTGATACCTGATGATTTTGTATTGCCTGGAGAATTAAACTTGGGACCATTTCCATCATTTGCACATAATTTACGCTCAGGAAATATTATTATTAAAGATAGTAAAACAGTTTACATACCAAAACTTTTTTATGATGGTGCAGCTCCTGGTAAGTATATTTCATGTATAAAATTTTTATATTTATTCTAATTAAAATATATGAAATAACATATATGTATAATAAGATTCTTATGAGTAATGTTTTGTGAATAAAATATTTGCTAGTTAATGTAGTTTTATATATATAAAACATTACTGTAAAAATTGTATGATCACAAAAACCTGAAAATAAAATCAATAGAAACACTAATTTAATCCAGATATAACAAAAACTCACATTTATTTAAATAATATATAATAGTCTAATTATTTTAAGCTATGAAACATGTATGTGCCATCTAATGAGTTTGAACTGTTCAATATTAATAGTTATATAATTTAATGTAATAAGAATAGTAACATCTTAGATAGTATTGCCAGTTTAATTATTACATTATTACTATTAAACTAGATATTCCAGTGTTTTCGTGACTGAACTTGTTTGTGTAAAATAAATTTCTTATTTCATATATGCATATTTATCAAGAAATTTTTTCTTTTAAATATTATTATTTAAATTATTTATTATTTAAAAAATTTCAAATATTATTATTATAACATTAACAAAATATTACAGAGTAATTTCTATTTTGCAAATTTTAATAGTATAAATACATTATTGTCAGACGTACTGTATATGTTTGACAATAAAATATTCTGTCATTATTATATATTCCTTTAATTATATAGATGTATATTTTTATATATGGTATATATAAAATTAAATGTATATGTATGCTTATGAATTGTATATGTGACTTGTGACATGGTATATGAATATGTATATATATATATATACATATTCATATACCATATACATATACATATATATATAATATATATATGTATATTATATGTATATGTATCACATATACATATATATATAATATATATATATTATATATCAATAAGTATATATATAACATATGTAAAGTACATTTCTTAAGTATCTTATGAAATTGTATGTGTATATTTATACATATGCTTATGTCAAAGAATAAAAAAATAAAAATATAAGAAAAGAGATTTTAAATTGATTAACTATTATTTGAAAATAATATTTTTTTAAATTTAATCATAATTAAAAATCTTGATCATGTATGACAGAATTGCTATAAAAATAATGCCTGTAAATTTTTCACTTGGAATAAATAAAATTTAATATTTTCAGATAGAAATTATATTATTAGTATAAACTTAAATGCATGATTTAGTATTGAATTTATTCAAATTCATTCTAGACTCTTATTTATTTTTTGTTACTGCTGTTATTTATTAAAGACAAATTATTTATCTGATAAGTTTTTAATTAAGCAGAACCTTTTATGTAGATAGATTCTCATATGTCATTATCATAATTTAATATAATTCATTAATAGAAAAATGATAACATATATGCTGACTTATAAATAAGTATTCAGTAATAATTGGAAAAAAAAAATCAGAAAAAATCTTACTTTTAATACCATTTAATATTATTCATAAAAACTTATTAATTTTGTATTTTAGTTTTATAAGTTTTAGAAAACTGAATTTTTTTGAATACTTTGACTTCTTATTATAAACTTTTTTTAGTTTAAGATGAAGAAAAAAACTTTTTATAACTTTTTTAAAATGTTTGTTTTTATAAATGTGAAAAGTAATTATTATGACATATTGACTACTATATTTATTGTATTTTACTGAAACATTTACTGTTAGTATATTTCGTTTATTAAAAAAGACTAGGACAATGAATTTAATGACGCACTATAAAAATTTTAGAAAAATATGGATTCAATTTCAAATTAGTTGATTTTTATATAAAATAAAATATCGCACTTCTGACAATCGCTGCGAGTGTATGGGCTAAATTTGGACAATCCGTGCTTCTTGCATGGACAATTGTATGAGGCCCGCTCACACGTCGGAAAACCTGATTTATTCGTGTATGCACCAGGCGGAAAAACAAAAAATATCGTGTATCCACAAACACTCCAATAAATAAATAGAATTGAAACGGCGCTTTGAAATGTTTTTCCGATGAAAATGAATAATAATAATAAGTTTCAATAAAAATAATAAAATGTAAATTGAATTTTATCATAACGAGTTTGCTTGAATTTCCTTTTTTCTGAGATCGCAGCAATGCGCGACGGGTAAGCTAGTTTTTAAATAAAATTTAGATACTGGCTCATGTTTATCTCAAAATTTATTTTTCCCTCAAATTTTCAGTCTAAATTCAATATATTTTCCATGTTTATCTCAAATAATATTATTCCAATACTTCTATATCTCAAATTATAGACTGAAGTATCAATTACAAATTTAAAGCTTGTTGAATACATTTTAATAGTATAAATAGTAGTTGAGAAATATCTCTTGCAATATAGTACATAGTTGCAAATTAACACTGCTTTTCTCTGATTGGCTATGAGTTTGGTTTGGTTAGTGGCAACACATGAGTGATCTGCTGAGTGTAGATACCTCTTGGGAGGTCTTTAAATGGTAAACTGGCCCCTATTTAGATGTTACAAATATAAAAAATCTCAGAAAACTTTACATTGGCCAGGCGGGTCAGTAGTTTTATCCATTTGGAGAAAGTCAGGCATCAGAAACTATTGACAAACTATTTCTGTTAAGGTATTTCAAAAATGTTTGATTTATATCTAATAAGGTATGTACTGTACTTGCTACTGTATTACTAAAATACTGTACTTCCAATCAAACCTATCACTGTTTACTATGTAGGAACCTCTACATCTCAAAACCCATCTGTCTTGAATTTCTTTCACATTTCCTTGAGATTCAAGATAGAAAGGTTCAATTATATACTTATTTATAATAATAATTATGAAAATTGTTCTCTGTTTAAAATATATTAAAAATACAAACGTAAGTCAATAGTTTTTAAATGAAAATTCTTGTTTCAACTATTATCTAATTTTCTTATATTTGGTTTTTTTCACTGAACTGATTGAAGATGTACAACATAATTTAAAAATATATGTTGTTCTTAAATTTTAAAATTGTTTAGATGGAATTATGTTTTATTTATTTAATATATATAAATTATTAAAACTTGAAATGATTACAAATAAATATTTCAATCATATTTTATATAATTTAATAATTTTTTGTGATTCACATACCAGTAATATGAATAACATTTTTGAAAATTTATTTTTTCAGATGCCTTTTTTTTGGTAGGAAAAGGAAATCATCCTCATAGTTCTTCAGCAATAAAGGTGCCAGATGAAAATGGAAGGTAACTGAATTTTTTTGTTTACTTTAAGTGCACAGCATAGTAAAGTAACACAAACAGTTATCTCTCACTGAATGGTAATCCAGTACTTTGTAGGATCATCTCAAGCCTTAATAACAGCATTCTAACATAGAGTAGATGAGTTTTTTTACCAAAATCATCATACTATACTCTTCTAATACACTTCTGTGGTTGCTGTTTATTTTCAGGTCTTCTCTGCTATATTTTGTGCCTGTAATATTCCAGTAGCTTCAGTAAGGATAAGGACTATTATTTGGCCAGCTTAGGCGTCTGATCTGGACCTTGTAGAAAACATTTTACTTAAACAATAATTTGTGTGACACTTTAAGTAACAATAAATGCTAACAAATTATAAAGAAATGACAGATTATATTTTACTCCCCATTTTGATGATGTGACATGGTACAATCATCCTGGAAGATACAGGATTTTGTGTCATGAAATTGTTTCTTGATTGTTGGAATTGGCTTACTAATAAGATATTTTTGTAGAGTTCTGCATTCACAGATTCACTTATAAAAGATCACCTTTACTGGATATGTGTTCCATTCTCACATCAAGTAATCTCTGTTTTAGTCTTCATCTTTTCTATGCCTTAGGGTTTGCATCAGATCAATGTAGGTTAAATTTGGATTTATTCCAAAATATAACAGAATTTTGCATGTCAACACTTCAGTCTGCATGCTGTTTAGCCTAGATAAGCCATTGTCTGTGCATTTTACTTATCAGTAATAACTTCTTACATGGACATTAGATGTTTAAACCCATGTTGCACAGATGATGTCACAGAGTTCATGCACTCACTTTTACTTTCCAGAACTTACAATACATTCTTGCAGGCTGAGATGCTTCAGCATTCTATCCTATATTCTCATATTTACCTTCTGATCCAGCTTCTTTCAATGTTGCCCATGTTTATGTCTGCTTTGTAACAAATGCACAATTATTGATTGATGGTAATGCACTCTCTGCACTATTTTACAAGAGGTTAAACTTTTATCCTTCAAAGCAACAATTATAGACATTTTACATGGTGTTAGCTGTCAAAAGCATTCCATTTTGCTAATAAACGTACACCATTGCATGCATACCATCTTCAATTTTTTATACTAATAAATGCAGTAACAGCACTAGGATTTTCATTCTGGGAGGACAAGATGGATTTTATCAAACAAATTAATGTTTAGAATTTAGTGATCAATTTTTAGTAAGACATGTAAGTAGAAAAAAGAAGTTAATGAAAATCTTTAATTATTTGGCAAACAGTCAATTCCTATTTATAGAAACTCCCCCAATAATTGATCAGTATAAGTAGACATTAAAAAATTATTTCAGGGTCAGTGGATGGGTGGGTTAGCATCCACCTTCACTCCATCCTAGCAGTATGAATATATGATACAGTCACTGAAAACATTGCTGCAGTAGACTTTGTCAGCCAATGAAAAGTGTTTTCATGTTTGAAAGATTTCACTTGTGAAATCATTGTATGGTTTTTTTCAGGTCTGCAGCAATAATGATATTTTAATTTTAAAAAAATAAACACATTTTTGTAGGATTTTATGAGTGGTGCAATTTTCATGGACACTGCTATAAAAAATACACCTCATATAACAATTACCCCATTTTGCACCAGTTAATAATGTTGCATTAGTGAATTTAATCACAATTGTCTATAAGAACAAAAATTTTTACATCATTTATTATATAGCTAACAAATATGTACATTAGTTTTAAGAATAAACATATGTATTATTGTAGTTACATTTTAATACAAGTTATTTATCTCAAATTGAAGTTAAATGATAAAAGATAACATGTGTTACAAAATTATTTGTTTCTATTATCATTTATACTTTCTTTATGAATAACAATATAAGAAAAGTAATGTATTCACTTTCAGGTTTGCCTGAGATAATTCAGGTAATTTAGGTTCTACTGTATATTCATTTAATGTTTTTCCATTATATGTAGAACCTCACAATTTCAATATTTGAAAGTATACATATGTACACACTTAGCTGTTACCTGCGACTTCGCCCGCGAAAATTTGATAAATTTTCTGGAACGTTTACAATTGTTCTATAATCAAACCAATATGCAATAACAAATTCGAATTTAAAACGGTTTGAACATTTTTAAAATCGAAATAGATAAAAATATTTATAACAATGTCTGAAATGTTATTAATTTAATACACCTAAGTACTCGATGAAGACTA